GTTTACATATGAAAACTGGAAGTTGGGGAGGAACAAATATGACATTAAGGAATTCAATAATAAGAAGGATAATGAGAGGAAAGAAGGGATAAAATTTGAAGGCAACTTTGGTAATGCGAAAAAATAAGCATCACGAATGTAGGCTCAACGTAAAGAGAAACTGTTGTTTGCACACACGATAGAGGTTTAAATCTGCAAACAGTTGCTGCTTCAGGTCTTTTCACCAGTCTATTCATATGTTTTTTCTGTAGAATTAATGAATTCGAAATCCACTCCAATTCATTCTATAGAATGTCATCCGAGCAGATTTTCTTTACTCTCACTGTGAAACATTTCATGAAATTTCTTTTTTATTGTATAGCAGGGAAACTAAAGAAGTGTTTATATTGACATGGAGATTTGTTTCGTTTGTATACGCTTCTGTGAAGTGATAAATCGCCTCATCTACGACTACCTAATAGATTATGACTTAAGCAAAATTAGAGATTAAGTATATTTCTTTTGAACACAAATATCAGGCTTTTATCGTTGTATTGCAAAAGTCTCTGTTGTATTGACGTGGGGAATACACATTTTCTTCGAAATGTTTGATTTCACTTTATAAATGACTTTGATAAAAGACTATCGTAGAGTAAAATGACTAGAGTTAACCAGGTGCTGAAGAATCGAGGTGTTGGCAGTCTTATATACTCGTTTAGAAAGCAGGATAGTGTTCGGAGATGCGTTTTGATAAGACACGCTTTATGTGGTCTGTGTAACCAGCTGCACAAGAGTTGGCACTTCATCATTAAGCTCTTTTTCACCAAATAATTTTATCAATAATAGGATCTGAATTGGAATACTGTTAATTAACTTTGCCGTTATATGTGATCACATTATACTACAGAGTGTGAAAGCAAATTAATGAAATAAACTGTGCTAAAAAAGGTTTGATTTTGTCAATGTAATAAATGTTCAGACTTTTCTAACCGAAAAATATTACTCACCTTTGAAATGATGAGTTTCAATTAGAATCTGATCATATCTAATAAATGAATAAGAAAATTACAGAACAATTGTTTTCAATTACTTCTTCTTCTGCTTCTTCTCCTGCTTCAGACTCTACATTTACAAATCCATGAGAATAAGTGAAATACAATAGCTAAAATAAGACATGATGTGCAATTTCTGTCATATTGAAATAGATAGTGTTATGATGGGTGAATGGAGGGAGATGAAATCGAATGGAATGAAATGATGGAATGGTAATCAGTCTAGTGTGTTAGTTGTGCAATGAAATCAATATTCGATAGAAGGATAACGAAATTTATTATTATTATTATTATTAGTCCCTTGGGTTCCTAGTGGAACATAGGGCTTCAGTAGCACGCCTCCAGTGACCTCTGTTCTCTGAGATCTTTTGAACCTGGTCCCACGACAGCCCACAAGCTCTCATTTCCTCCTCGCACGATCTCCTCCATGTCACCCTCGGCACCGACGTCCAACTCGTCGCTTCTTATGGGGATTCCACTCTAGGGTGTGGCCTGACACGTGATGTCCCCAGTCGGCCTTCTCAGTGCATGCCCAATCCATCTCCACTTCTTCCTGTATATTTGTTGCGTGATAGGTTCTTGGTTGGTTCGTTCCCAGAGCTCCTTGTTGCTTATTCTTGTTATTCTGGCCATCTGATCTTCAGTAGCGAGCCAGAGTGAGCAGTTGTTGATGAATGTCTGTAGTTTATTGGAAATCCCTTTCGTGACGCGCCAAGTCTCTGAACCATACAAGAGCACTGAGTTGACGTTGGTGTTGAAAATCCACATCTTGTTCCACATGCTGAGTGCAGAAGATCTCCACACTGGTTTCAGGCTAATGAACACCTGTCTTGCTTTTCCGATTCTGACTTTGACGTCCTCGTCCGTCCCGCCTGTAGTTGAAACAGTGCTTCCTAGATAGGTGAAGGAGGTTACTTCCTTTAAGTTTCTCCCGTTGGTGGTGATTGGGGTTTGTTGTTGTTGTTGAAGTTGTTGGTGCGGTATCTTCATCACTTCTGTCTTCTCTATATTCACCTGAAGTCCCGTCTTCGCTGCCTCTTCTGTCAACTTGTTAGTTTTTGCCTGTAGATCTTCAAGTTCATGTGACATTAGGCATAAGTCATCGGCGAAATCCAGACCTTCTAGGTTCTTTTCCGCAGTCCAGCCAGCGTATCCCCCTCTTCTCACTCCCCACTGTTTGCTGCATGATCCAGTCAAACATAATCAGGTATATCATGGGGGATAGTAGGCAACATTGTTTCACTCATTCCTGTCTTCACTTCAAAAGCATCACTGAGCTTCCCATTGTGAAATACTTGGCATCTGGCATCTTCATATAGTTGTTGAATGAGGCGGATAAAGGTTTGCGGTAATCCGTAGTATTGAAGCAGTTTCCAAATTACTTCTCGGTCGACGCTGTCAAAGGCCTTCTCAAAGTCGATGAAGTTGAGGTAGAGAGCTGATTGCCATTCTATGCTCTGTTCTATGATGATGCGTAGCGTTGCAATTTGGTCTGCACATGATTTGTACTTCCTGAAGCCTGCCTGTTCCGGTCGGAGTTTTGAATCGAGTGCATCTTTAAGCCTCTCTAGGATGATGCGGCCTAATATTTTGCTTGCTCTGGGTGGACAGGAGAGTGATTCCGCGCCAGTTCTTGCAAGCACTCAGGTCTCCCTTCTTCGGCAGTTTGGCAAGGTAACCCTTCTTCCAATCAATGGCCAGGTACCTTCTCTTCCTTCCACACCTTCTGCAATAGTGGTGTGGTGTGAGCATGTCCGCTGTTGTCTCTGCATCTGTTCTCAGTGCTTCTGGCGGGATACTGACTGGACCTGCTGCTTTCCCACATTTCAGTAGCTTTATGGCCTTCAGGACTTCCATTTTCGTTGGGGGATTTATGTTCACTTGTAATTCAGCGGCTGCAGGTGGTATTTTTGGACGAAGTGCAGGTGGAGGTCGATTCAAGAACTTCTTGAAGTGGTCGGCCCATTGTTTCCTCTGTTTCTCTTCTTTCGTAATTAAATTTCCTTCTTCATCTTTTATTGGTTTCATCTGTGTTGGTCTCTTCCCTGATAGCAACCTGGTTATTTGATACAATGTTGTCAGGTCTCTCTTACCTGCAGCCTGTTCTGCTTCACTTGCCAGTGTTTCGTAGAAGTTATGCAATGTAGTTATGCAATGAAATCAATATTCGATAGAAGGATAACGAAATGGGGAAACAAAATCTATAGATAACGATTCCCATTTGATTGTCTGAGATAACCGTAATTTAGTAGATTAATATTTATACTGAGTGAGCGTCAGGTTGGAAACCCGTTGGTCACCGGTTCGAATCCTGCTATAGTTCAAACTTTCATTTTACCTTCAGTCATCACCTCGATAATGATTTATTTATTAGGGCATGAATGTATGTTTGTTTGTTTACTAAGGGTCAAATAATCATGGTGTAACGATGAGTTGTGTTCAAATAGGGTGAAAATCATGTGAAAACTAAAGCGAAATACTGAATAACAAATGTGAAGTGTTACGTCATGATCGAAAATGACTACTGGTAGAGCATAAAACTAATGATATAAGAAAAGAAATGTTAACTAATGTAATGACAATATAGAAGAAAGGGGTAGGGGTTAAAATGTCTACTTTGTGGTAGGAAAGTTCGTACAAAAGGTATCGACCTTATTGTGGGCCAAGGTAGACAAAGTGGATTTACGTACTTCTTTTGAACACATAGGTCCGGTTTCCTTACTTGATACTTATAGCCTAGGCTATGGATAAGATGCATAGTAGTGCATCTTTAGCGGGATTGCAAGGGAAACGGTATATCACGGAAAAATATGATCTACCTTGATATGATGTCCGATATCTGCTAGATGAATCGTTATCTGTAGATTTTGTTTCCCCATTTCGTTATCCTTCTATCGAATATTGATTTCATTGCACAACTAACACACTAGACTGATTACCATTCCATCATTCCATTCCATTCGATTTCATCTCCCTCCATTCACCCATCATAACACTAACTATTTCAATATGACAGAAATTGCACATCATGTCTTATTTTAGCTATTGTATTTCACTTATTCTCATGAATTTGTAAATGTAGAGTCTGAAGCAGGAGAAGAAGCAGAAGAAGAAGTAACTGAAAACAATTGTTTACCCAAATTATTCTTGTTCTGAAGAGAAATTACAATTTATATAAAATGACGACTGAAGGTGAAATGAAAACTGACTTCGTGACAGTATTTGAGCTGAAGGCTTCTAGAATATCATCCAGACGTTCTCTCAGTGTTGAGCTACAAGATTCAGCTACTGTTGGGTCTTAGATTCACTTCAATCACTGAGCATTTCACTCATGTGTAATATATTTATATACCTTCCTGCAACACACATACTATCTCCTATGAGATGAACACATTTCAATGTATGTCAATCCTCTGTTGTAGATTGTTTAGTTAATATTGATTGCCAGAAGTTGACAAGAAATCAACGGAATAAAATGTATTTTTTATATATGTGATGATTAAAAGCGTAATGGCGACCTAGATGACGAAGGGATTACAGCCAATAATCTTCTTACTAGCTCCTCGATACTCTAAGAACTGAGCTGTGAGAGGTTGTATGAACAATAACAATGTAGCGAACCACGGTTACCTCATCAATAACCAATCCTATACATTCTAATGTGAGATAGAAAGACCTAACTGTGAAGTTATTGTGACGACGAAAAACAGACAGTTATGTAGGATACAATCTCATGGCAACCATATATTTACCTAAGACCTAGTTAACAGTTTCTTATCGTAGCTCAACTGATAAGAGCATCAACTAGTAATCTGATGGCAGTTAATGTTAGTCTTACTACAATCCAGTTTTTCATTTCACCGCTAATCATTACCCTGTATCAATAATATACTACAGTGACCACAAATAATTTCAAGAAAAATCGAATTAATTGAAGTTTCCATTATCATATTTTTTTCTATCTTTAAGGGATGATACAATGTCTATGCCATTATTTGAATTGGATTATCATAAAATCAAAGACGATATCAAAGTAATGAATGATCGGAAGAAATGTTATCTACTTCAAGCATTACGTTGGGTAAGAAGAATTTCTAAGAATGTACTACTTTTTATCACATACTTTGAAAAAATTTACATTCTACTCATGTTTTTATGGTGTTAAATACACATTTTCATAATACCTTAGAACGTGTCAATAAACAGTATAGCCTGTATACTTTTTGACAAAGTATAAGTTTTATCTCGAATTTAGATGCAATTCTGATTGATGACGGTCAACAGGTACGAAACTTAGAGAAGGAGAGCTATCTGATAATCGCTATAAACGTCCATTACTAAGTCTGAAAGTGATGAAAATATAATTAGATAGAAACATACAATTCGGTGATATTGAACAGTTGTCCCGTCACAGTATGGGACTTCTCAGAAATCGAACCCAAAACGATTATTCCTAGGTTTTCAATAGTTCTGTAAGTGACATCAGCTTGTAATGACTACCAACTTGAGATCAATTAGTCCACACAAGCTTCCGAATCGAATTACTGTCGAGATAAGAAGTTGTGACCGGTTAGGCCGATGGCTTTTTAATGAAGGTTGCACTATATTGCAAATTGACAGAAGTAAGAAAATGTGGACCATTGGTTTTCGACCGGAAGATAATGTGCTCTGTGTGAGACCTGAAGGTTTTGGGCTCCATCCCTGGTGGGACAGGTGTACACTGCTGAGAAATCCCTTACTAGGACGAAAAAGGTGTCCATTATAACCAGTTTTCCAATAGTACTCCAACTGATGTCACAGTCCATTATGAATAACAACATGAAATAAGATTGACTCTTTAACTAGGGATAAAATGATCAAATCACGGTGTTATACTTTCGTTTTGGTCTAGCTCTACTAAGAAAAACAATAATTCAGTATGTCTTTTTTGTATAAATAGTTTCTATACCGTATTCTATATTAGTTAAAAACCACTGGATACTATTATGTCACTTACATCTATTTCAAACTATTAGAAAATGAAGTCAGAGGTTAATGTGTCACATAAAACCTTTTAACAGAAACTGTGCCATTATAGAAATATTAGTTTTGTAGTGTTAAGTTTAACTTGACTAGTTAGTGGTTTCATCCAACTATAGTCAACTTATGTTATGTAACGCTGCTTCTTGTGTATGATTTCCTATGAGAAAATAACCTACTAGTCAGTACCATTAGGCAGTTAGTACTTCTCATCTATTGCAGTATGTCATAGAATAATATGAATTAAAGTCTTTGAAAGGGAATAAGTGTAACTTGTATTGCAAACACACCTTTAATGATGAGTGGTGATAATCACGAAACTCTTCTTCAAAATGATGCCCTTGTTGATTGTCTCTCTATCCTAAACTGCTGCCGTCTTATCGATGAGTGTGAATTGGAAACTTGATACCAGCTAGTCTGATTTTGATATGTTCTAGACACAGTCAATCACTATGATAGATAGATGTGTAATGTTTACTCAGATAGAAATGAGACGGTGAAAATCTCAGTACACATATGTTGATGTGTATGGTGTTGAGAAGAATAGATCTGTTGATTGTAACAGATAGAATACCAAGTATTCTCGGTCAGGGTTAGTATACAACAGATATACTAATCCTTGATAATACTACTGGTGCTGATGATATCAGTATTCTGGATTTTATTGTTTTTCGAAATATTATTGATGGATGGTGGCTAGAAGTGAAGTCCAGAACTCACCTTTCGTCCTATTTGGAACTCATCAGCTGGACGTGCCTGCTTTCCAGAGAGTAATATTGTTCCCACTAAGACATGAACTGGAACTGATTGATTCAAACACCAGAACGCTATCCACTAGACCGCTGAGTCACGACAAACACTTCTTGTATGATGGGTATAGTTTTAATGTTGTTGCTTGTATTGTTCCGCCGTTGAGTGGACGGAATTGAACGGTCTCTGTTAGCATATGGGCTCCTGCACGGATGCCTTGATCTACTAATGATAGATAGTGGTGGCTAATGGGAACAACATCGCTCACTGGATGGCAGGTATATCCATCTGATGAGTCCCAAGTGGGACGAAACGTGCAACCTGGATTCCATTGCAACTACTATCCATCATTAATAAATAATTCAAACAGGGAATATCAAAGCATCCGCATACCAGGCCACATGCCATATCACCAAATGACAAATGAGGAGTTCTTTAACTTGGGAAAGTTGTTCAGTATTCTCTTAGATTGTGGTTGTCGCTATTAAAAAGTTGATAACAATCAAAATTTAAAAAAAAATTTGTCGATTTTGGATGTCACGGTTACAGAGTTTCCACCATTGGTGTCTTAATAGCAGTGCTGGAATTACAATGTGAGTAATGTTGAGGTCACACAAGATAGATAGGTCGATTGATAAGGCTGTTAACTTTCATCGACTGAGGTGACTTGGAGATGTATTGCATATGCTGATCCATTGCTTACCTCAGCGTGTTATGCTAGGAGAAGTTGTATTAGGTCGGAAGAGAGTTCATGGTGGTCACACCAAGATTATGTTAAGAATTGTAGACTGCCTTATTGCGGTCTCCGAGACTATAGAAATCCGGTGGTTGACGATTCTTGGTGACAGTGGCGCAGATATATTCACTTCTTGATATCTTCTTAAGCTTAAATATTTGCATTCATCAATATCTTCAGATAATAGCTCATTCTCTCACATAACTTCGTCTACTTTGATATCAGTCGTTTTCTATCCACCTGTTCTTTGTATACTACGTTGAAGTGTGAAAACCTGAACTATTGGACTTGTCTTTGAGGCTCTACGTTGATTTTTTTTGTCTGTCTAATGTCACTTTAAGCAAATTATTGACTTCCTCAGAAGCTATTTCATATAGTAGAGAAATGTTCCTAAATTATACAAATTCTCGTCTAGACTTCCTACTAAGTTGAAGAGTCAGTAGGTCATACATGAAGAGCGAATCTTTTTTTCCACGGATTAACCTTTTTTTAAGTCACAATTAGGAGGAAAAACCTTACTGATGTGAATTATTGATCTGTTTTTGACCTACTGGTTTAGTCTTACCGCATGCTTTCTTTCAAGAGTGTTTTCTACATTATGATTAGCTTTGATAACCTGGGCCTAGAAGTGTATTATATAAAATGCAATAAAACAGTTTACAATTGATGACTCTGTAACATTGCGCATAATTTGAAGTTGATAATAATCACAGACTGTGACATTAGTTGGAGAACCATTGGAAACCTGACTGGACTAGACAACTGTTTCATCCTAGTATGAGACTCTTCAGCAGTGAGCACTCAAAACTCTACCCCAGTGGTCGAATTCAGAACCTTTAGATTTCTCTACGAGCATGGTGCCATTTAACCGCTGAGACAGATTCCAATGATCCCTATTTCCCCACCTGCGTCAACTCGTAATATTACTTGATCTTTATTCGTTGCTATTAACAAATATTAGTTCTCATATCTAATTTGGTTGACGCCATAAGACTTCTGAATATCGGAAGGTCTCATGAATACTAGCTTGAAACTAATAAATTCCCAACAAACCTCTAAATTAAATGATTATAATTCTCTCTGAAGTCTTTCATTGTGGAGCAAATTTCTCATTGACTTAGGCAGTTGACTTTTAACCAATGGGTGACAGGTTCAAAAATCCATCCACCTACCTAGATTTGACCAGTCATATACTAACTATCATTAATACTTATGCTATAGGTTTGACTAACTGTTTAATACTCAAGTGTGTACAAGGTTACTAAGTGCCTTTTTATTTTCAACTGAAGTTTTGTTGAATAAATTTTCCTTCATATTACATTCAAGATAAAGTGATATTGTGATACTGTTTTATTTTATATTAAAGGATTACAATCAATAAGTTGGAAGTTTTAGACCAACCCATTTAACTTGATCATAACACCTTGTTGTATATTGAAACGCGATTAAATCCAATAATGAGTCAGTGAATTCATGTTTAGCCTAATAGTATTGTGTATAGTCATATTAGTGAACTAGTTGAGCTTGAACCCTTCTAGACAACTTTATTACTTTCCAAAGTTAAAAGCTATGCTTTTCAATAGTTGTTAACCAAGATGAAAGCCATTTAAAGGATTTCTGCATGTGTAAATTACCTTCTCCTTTCATGATACTGTTTTACCGAATATCTCCACTCATATCAATGTGGGTTGCTTTAATAAATGTGAATGTGATTGCTTGATATGAGTTTTTTTTTTTATTGTTCTACAATATTTGATATAAGATGCAGAGAATCAGTTTTCCAAATGACTTAGAATTAGCTTTCGCACCTGTTCACATTCATCAGCTCAACATATCTATAAGCTTGGTCAAGCTCATCTTAACTTGAAAATTCAAAATCATATCATTCAATAACACATAAACCTTATTGATGACGACCAGCAAGCCCAAAATCTAAATTAGCAGTTTCCTGATGATTAACTCTGGGAAAAAACCAACCAAGAACCCATCGCTCAAAAAATATGCAGAAGGAAGTGGAGGTGGATTGAGCATACACTGAGAAGGCCGACTGGGGACATCACGAGCCAGGCCAGTCCCTAGACTGAAACCCAGATGGGAAGCGACGAGTCGGGCGTCTGAGTTGAGGGTGACATGGAGGAGATAATGTGAGGAAGAAACGAAAACTTGTGGGCAGTCGTGGATCCAGGTTGAAAAGACTTCAGAGAAGAGAGTGAAATGGAGGCATGTTACTGAAGCCCTATGTCCCATTGGGAACCCAAGGGACAAATAATAATAATAAAATGATGATTAACGCTCAACATTTGACACCGTAACATTGTTCACCACAGTTTTATATCACCTAGCTTATTGGAAACAGCTATCCAATGCTTCGAAATATCCAGTGGTTCTCCAACCGGTATCATTCCATGATGAATATTACCTTGACATCAACAAGTATTTAAGAATCTTCAAACTAAACACCTGTCTCAAGTTGTTATTCATCGTAGACTGACATCAGTTGGAAGAACAAAGGAAACCTAGGAGCACTGGACAGCTGTTTCGTCCTAGTGTAGGACTCCTCAGCAGTGCACACCCACGACCCCGCCAGGGACCGAACCCGCGACCTTCATGCTCCGTGGCCACGGTTAAGCCACTGGGTCGGAATCCAACGGTCTATATTTCCAACTTCTGTCAGCTCACGATATAGCGCAACATCTGTCTTTTCTTCATCACTCCTGGAAATGAACTTCCTGAAGAATGTGAGGATAAATACTCGTCAGCATCATTGGATATTGGTTGCAGTATATCATGAATTCACAGACCTAGGAAAATGTGGACTATTGAACTTCGACCAAGTGGTTAAATAGGAACGTACTCATTGAGTGATGTAAAGGTCGTGAGTGCACACTGCTGAGGAGTTCTATACTAGGACGAAACACCTGTCTAGTACTCACTGGTATTCAATGGTTCTCTGACCAATCTCAACTCGTGATAAAATCTTCTTGGAGAATAGAAATTGTTCTTTACATTCGATATTACACTTGTATTAGTCAACATCCAATGAGTAGTACATTCATATATTTGATGTAATCAGTTTGACTAATGAATTTATTGATTTCTTATTTTAGAGATTGACGAAATCTAAGTTATCACAACGTGAAAATTGTTTAACATCATTTGTTCGAAATGATATACTGGATTTAACAAAAATTGAATCACTTAAAGATGTTGATCTTATCAAACATGCACCATTACTTCATTGTTTAAAATCAAAACATCATCGTGTACGTGAATATATGGCACGTTTTATCAATGCTTTAGCATCATTATCCAGAGGTATGTGGTACAGATGTCTGTGTGTGTGTGTGTGTGTGCGTATGTGTATATAATATGTAGTTTGGAGAGAGAATCTGGCAAATTTCCATCGCCTTCTCAAACTTTTTGGGAAGATAGCTATGATTGATGGAATCCTGTAACACTTTTATGGTCGAGTGATAAAGAAAACTGACTACTTATGTTTTATTAAATATTTAGTGAAGTAAACTAGTTCTTTATATCTCGAAGATTGACTTGAGATATCAAAAAAGTGAACTTTGTCTGAAATAACTGTTGGTTAGCCAGGGGTGTACAATAAAACCATTAACTGACCAATGAGATGCTAGCAACAAGTTAAGGTAGTGCTTCTATCCTTTATAATAAATTGCCCTACGAGAAAACGGCGTTAGAATTCTTTAGTAATCTGTGGCCACTGACAGAACCTCACATACAGGTAGATAGGCTCAGTTCGCCACACTTCATGGTGGATAGAAAAGAAATGATACCAAAATGGACAAAGTAGTATGAGAGTACAAACAATTTGACGATATTCAAGCTTCAGACAACGTCGAGGAGTGAATATATCTGACCAATTGATAGTCTGTAACCAATGATTTCTATCGTTTCGGGGACCGCAACCAGTCAGTCTACATCTCCCCAGATAACTCAAACTAAAAGTAGGGAACTTCATCGACTGGTGTCACGTCGTGGTTTAGCCACCCTGAACCCTCTTCCAACGTAATCCAACTTCCTGTAGCATGACACGTCAAGTTAGGCGGTAGCTTAGCATGTGCAGTAAATGTCCGAGCCATCTCATTCTAATAAGGTTAACAACCTCATCAATCGACTCTTTTTTTTACCTAGTATCCTTTACCTGACCTCATATGATAATTCCACCAATCGCAAGCACTACTGTGAAGACACCAATGATTGAGACCATGTAACCAATTCAATCTACAGCTAACAAATATACAATAAAATCCCTCCGGTTTTCCTACCTTCTACTCTATCAAGTGACTCTATGAGATGGATTTGCTAGCGAGATCTTAATATCACTTCATTTGCCAGGAATTTCGGCTAACTCCCATGTGAATCCTTTCATTCACCATAATCATACCGGCTGCTCAGTCAGGTCTTCTCAGCCTTATCCAAAGTGAGCTCAATTAGAGACGGAGTTATGTGATGGATTATTCCGTATTATCTGTAGTTATATTCTTTAAAAAGCAATATTAGCAACCAATCATTATAGTAAGTCAAGTAGTTCAGAGTAGACGAAGTGTCATGTTCATTATTACGTTAAATGTTTGGAAAACGGTCATTAGTATTGACTTTATGACCAGTAATCAACAAATGCCTGGCTTTAGATGATGATGTAGCTCGGGCAGATGACTTTCATATTCGGACACCTCTCCAACTACCGAGGTTCCAGCAGAGAGGTAGTATCGTTAGCTTTCATTGTTAGGTGTGGCATATTGTTTACTGTATGAATGTGTACAAGCTTGCTAAAAGCCTTTGATTAATTGATTGATAATGTTTATTTGTCCATTGAATGGGTCAGGTGAAGAGTACTAAGCGAGACGGGGAAGTCGATTGATAAGGTTGTGAACCTCAGTAGACTGAGATGGCGTGGACATGTAATGCACATGTGGAGCTTCTACCTAACTCAACGTGCGATGCTAGGGAAAGTTGGAACAGGGCTTACGGTGCACAGACAAAGATGTCACGCTAGTCGATGAAGTCCTCAACTGTTGGTCTGAGTCATGTGGGGATATGTAGACTGCCTGATTTGGATCGCCGATACGATAGAAATCAGTGATTGAGGACTCATGGTGACTAAGAGATTTCCCGACTCGTCGAGACTTTGATGTTGTACGGTGACTGGATGGTGACCTGCCCGTTCTTTATGATAAGTGCTGCTTGTAAAATCCATCCTTGTGACCCATAGTATTACAATCTCTGCATTTATTCTGCTTATAAGGACAAGATTTAATGAAATGCCATGCACCACAATGCCAGCAAAGGAACGGAGGGGTCTTCTTCGTGTTTCTTTTGGTATTGTATGAGCTGTTGGGATGACGAACAGGAGACGAAGAACCAGGGGTCTTTTGGTTCGAAAAGGATGCTGAGGAATTAGATGTCTGGCGAACCGCATGCACTTCATGATCACCCTGGCATCCGGACCGGAATAAACTTGTATCCCGTTGCAGGTTCACCAATCATTGATATTCAGCAGCAATATTGTTCAACATTAGTGTTGGTTCTTGCTCCAACCGACTTAGCAGTCTCATTCTAATATCTGCGAACTTGGGCGATTGAAGGCTGCATATGAGTATCTACGATTTGAATTGGTCATCATTGGTGGACTGTAGCTTGAATTTTTCGCATTCGCGATTAACGATACCAACATAGGTGAGAAAATCATGGTTCTCGTTCATGACCAGTTTAAGACAACGATATCTGACATTGAAAAGTGGCGAATGATCACCAAAACATTGTCTTAGGGTCTGTATTGGGACATCGAAGGAGCGATCTCTTGGGTTGTATGGCAGTATTATATTGCAATACTGATCTAATTCGGATGAACCAAGTTTTCGAAGAAGGAGACGAACTTTTCATGAATCATCTTGACCAACAAAATCAACTCTGAAGTGGTCTTCATATTTTCGAGACCAAGTATCGAAAGTCACGTTAGCGTCAGCATCATAATCAAATTCTGTGATACTGGTTGCAATTCCGTCAACCGAAGGGCTGATATAGCAGGTATAGGGTTTGATGATTCAGGTGCAGAGATTCTGGACTGAGTTAATAACCCGATAATCTTCATCTGTTGTTCGAGAAATTTGATCCCATCCCCGTCGCCATTGTTACAAACCAACGTTATAGATAACGATGGGACGCTCCCAGACGAATATGATTAACGATAGAACAATGACTTCTCAACTCGATATTCAGCTGACACTAGAAGGAAGACGACAAGACTGAAAATTTATTCACTCCAACCGAATTCAGTAAGTGAAAACTCAGTCGTTTACATATCCTTAAATGACCTTGGCTAGAGAAAACAAAATAGCACATTCAAAGTGTAAAATGGATCAATCAGCGTTTAGTATCCTAAACTGCGGTAAGAATGAGAAACATAGCATGCAGGAAAAAGGGTGCGAAAATAAGGCTTAAACTATAAAATGATAAATTTAAACAGCGTAATGAGAATACGAAGATTATCTGAAACATGTGATGTATTAGCGCTATACATTTCGAACAATCTGATGACACATGGATCGATCTATAGGATCTATAAGAAACCTACGTGGACAGGGCAATATCTTAATTTCCATAGCTATTGTCCAGTCGAATACAAACGTGGTTAAGTCAGATGCTTATTCAACAGGATAAACCGTATCTGCACCGATGACACCAGGGAGGAAGAAGCCAACTTACTGACGACAACTCTGATACAGAATGGATACCCGTTGAGATTTATCGACCGGTGCAAAAGTTATGTACCATTGAAAAGTACACAGTGTTCCGTTGCCAAGAAAAATGTCTACATCTCATTACCATTTAGAGGTGATTCACATAGCTTTGTTATGAGGAAAAGACTTAGATCGGCCATCTGTAAAACGTATTATGCAGCTAAGGTCATCATTGTAGAGAAGACCAAGTCCATGTTACAGCACAAACCGAAACAACATATAAACGATTACATCACATCCCAATTTACATGTATGTGTGGACACACATATATAGGGAGGAGTAATCGTTATATGCAGTTAAGGAAGGCTGAACATGTACCCAAGTGGCTACATAAACAAATGACCTCAACAGATCCTATAAGTGCAGGTGACAAACATCCATCTTCGTCTGTCGCTAAACATCTACTAGAAACTAACCATAGGATAGACATGAAAACAGCCTTTAAAGTACTACATAAAAGTGGTCAGAGCCGAGTGCTTAAATTTATTGAAGCTCTTGCCATCCGTAAATTTAAACCCCCTTTATGTATACAAAAACAATTTGTACTCACGTTGAACATACCTTGGTAGTATTGATTTTAATTTTCATACCAAGAATAAAGTCTTCCTTTTCCTTTTCTATCCCTTCCTATTCCTATGTTTCCCATTAACTTCATTGACCCTTTTCGTAAATTTTCATATAAATAGTTAGACAAGTCCATGTGTACTATCAGATTGTTCGAAATGTATAGCGCTAATACATCACGACATGTTTCAGATAATCTTCGTCTTCTCATTACGCTGTTTAAATTTATCAAAGGGACCAATTGCTATAAAATGATAATATAAACATATTATAAGTTAGTTATCTTAGGGATTAGTCATGCCTCATAGTTGTCTACCTTGATATTAGTCTTTTTCTATCCCCCCTGTTCTGTGTACTACTGTGAAGTGTGGCGAATTAAAATGATGCATCTTTGCGTAAGGTTCAGCGTTGATTTCGTTTGTCTGTCTGTCTATCTTATAATTATGTCATAGACGAGTTTTGCGGAATACTAACCAACCATCTACTTATCACTTACCTATATCTAATGTTTGTACAATTTTAGTCAAGCGCTAGTTTCTGAATTTGTATATGCATATATCTAAAAACTTGTAATGATATGCACTTTTTCTGTTAATGTTTCTCACTCAGGTCGGGCATACTTATCACAGACATCATCAGTTGTTGAAATTCTAATTGATGAAGTCCGTAAAGAACAAGATGAGTGTATAACACGAGAAAATTTTGTTGGTGCACTACAGAAGATGAGTTTAAGGTGAATTTAATTTAATTATCATTAATTGTTCAATGGATGATTTTCACATAAATTCTCATATTGTTTCTAAAATACTTTATCTCATTAATATTTCTCTTGAACTTTTAGAGTGTAGAAGAACAGAGGTGTTTCATGTTATACAAGTAAATTATATGAAAGTAGTTTTCTACCAACTTTATGTCTAAAGAGATTATTATTATTTTTATTATTAGTCCCTTGGGTTCCTAATAGAGCATAGGGCTTCAGTAGCACATCTCTAGTGAACTCTGTTCTCTGAAATCTTTTGAACCTGGCTCCACGACAGCCCAGAAGCTCTCATTTCCTACTCGCACGATCTCCTTCATGTCACACTCTACACCGACGTCCAACTCGTCGCTTCTTATGGGGATTCCACTCGAGCGACTGGCCTGACGCGTGATGTCCCCAGACGGCCTTCTCAGTGTATGCCCAATCCATCTCCACTTCCTTCTGCATATTTGTTGGGTGATAGGTTTTTGGTTGGTTTGTTCCCAGAGCTCCTTGTTGCTTATTCTTGTTATTCTGGCCATCTGATCTTCAGTAGCGAGCCAGCGTGAGCAGTTGTTAATGAATGTCTGTAGTTTATTGGAAATCCCTTTCGTAACGCAGTGTATAAAGTGTGCCTTACAAAATTAACAGATAAGCAAGTGAATTTCTAGTTGATTGCTTTTACTTAACAGTGCTTACTATATTTTTATGACTATTTAAAACACTTTGATGAAATTTACAAATATGTTGTTTTTAATCAATAAATCAAATGGGTAAACACTTAGGTGAATGAGTTCACCTTGCCACACTTTTCAATAGTATACAAAGAACAGATGGATAAAAAAATACTGATATCAAGGTAGACAACGTTGTATGAGAGAGTAAACAATTTGCAGATAAAGGTTAGTACGAATATTCAAGCTTAAGAAGAAGTTAAGTAGTGAATATGCCTCTGCCACTGAAACCAAATTTCAACCATATCACCAAGAATCTTCAATCATTGATTTCTATCGTTTCGGGGACCCCAGTCAGGCAGTCTACATCTCCCCTACATAACTCAAACCAACAATTGTGGACTTCACTGACTAGTGCGATGTTATCGTCTGGTCATCCTAAACCATTTTCAAACCTACTCCAACTTTCCCTAACTTCGTATGTTGTGTTAAGTGTATGATCAGCATGCGTAAACCCCGTCAGCCAATGAAGCCTTATAACCTCTTCAATTGACTTGCTTTTCTTGGCTAGTACCCTGCGTCTGACTTCAACACTGCTCGTGTGGTGATTCCAACAAATGTGAGCGAAGCTGCAAAGACGCCTATGTTCGAAAACCTGTAACAGCTTCATATGTTCTACTTTTAAGGCGTATATCTCACAGGCTTTCTGTGTTAAACCTATCAGTTTATCTGAATGCTTTGTTCTGCCACCGCTTTAAATATTATTATTACTATTATGTTATTTTTCCATTGGATTCCTACTGGAATGTAGCGTTTCAGTAACACGTCGCCATTTCACTCTGTTCTCTTCAGTCTTTTCAACCTGCCTCCAGGACTTCGCACAAGCTTTCATTTCTTCCTCATACCATCTCCTCCATGTCACCCTCGCCTCCACTCGATGACCTGGACTGGCCTGGTGCGTTATGTCCCCAAACCGTCTTCTTTCTCAGTGTATATCCCATCCAATTCGTCTCCACTTTTTTCTTCTGCATATTTATTGGGCGATGGGTTCTTGCTTCGTTGGTTCGTTGCCAGCCAGTCAGTGAGAGATCCTTGTTGCTTATTCTTATTACTCTGGCCATCTGATCTGATCTTCAGTGTAAGTATGGAGTGAGCGTAGACTGCAGGTGTTGATGTGATGTATGTCTATAGTTTGTTGGAAATGCTTTTGTAACGCGTCAAGTCTCTCAACCATCACATAGAAGCACTGACTTACTTGACTGAATTAATGTTGACAATCCGGATGTTGTTCAGGCTTTATGCTGAGTGCAGTGCATTCCAGTGCAGTAAATCTCCACACTGATTATTTCAGATTAATTAAGGCCTGTCTTTCTGTCTTCCCGATTATCTGTGCTGCCTGTAGTTGAGACGATGCTGCCTAGGTAGGTAGGGGAAACAGACAACTTCCTTTAGATTTCTCCAGTTGATGGTGATTGGTGCTTGTTGGGGTTGTTGGTCGGGTATCTTTATCACCTCCATCTTCTCTACGTTCACTTGAAGTTCCGCCTCCTCTGTCTCTTCTATCAGCTTATTGGTTTTTGCCTGTAGATCATCGGGTTTGTGCGACATTAGACATAAATCATCATCGTTGGCGGAATCCAAATCTTCTAGCATCTTTTTATCGGCCCAGTCAGCTTATACCCATCTTCTTGCTCCTCACAGTTTGTTGTATGATCCAGTCCAGTCGACCACAATCAGAAAGAGATCGTCGGTGATAGTAGGCGGCATTGTCTTACTCCTCCCTATCTTCACTTCAAAAGCATCACTGAGCTTCACGTTATGAATCACTTGGCATGTAGCAGTGCATAGCTTCTGTTGAATAAGGTTGATAAAGGCTTTTTGCACTGAAACTGTAGTGTTGAAGCAGCTGCTAAATTACTTCTCGGTCGACGCCTCGACCGAAAGCCTTTCCGAAGTCGATGAAGTTGAGGTGAGGAGTTGACTGCCATTCTCTGCTGTGTTCTATGATGATGCGTAGCGTAGCAGTGCGATTTGATCCCCACATGATTTGTTTTCCCTGAAACCAGTTAGCCAGCCTCTTCCAGTCGTAGTTTTGAATCCAGAGCATTTCTTGTTTCTTTCCCGGATTTCAGCAACCTTATGGCGTTTAGGACTTCGCTTCTGCTTTTTTCGGAGGGCTGGTGTTCACTGATAGTTTTGCGGCTGGGCTGCTGGAGGTATTTCTGGACGAGTTGCAGGTGGTAGTGGTGGTTGATTCATGAGATTTTTGAAGTAGTCCGCCCATCGTTTCCTTTGTTTCACCTCTTTGGTAACTAGGTTTCCTTCACTATCTTTCACTGGTTTCACTCGGCTGGGGTAATCTTTTCCCAGATAGTAACCTGGTTATTTGATATAATGTTGTCAGGTCTCTCCTACCTGCAGCCTGTTTTGCTTCTTTTGCCAGTGTGTCGTAGGAGTGTCTTTTGTCCTTGCGCGCACTCTTCTTCACTTCTTTGTCTAGTATTTTGTACGTTGCCCTCAGTTCCTATTTTCGTTGCTCATCCTTGCACTGGTTTATCTTCTGCTTCACCATCCTCCTCTTTTCTATCAGTCTCCATGTGTCCGTGTAGATCCATTCATTGTCTTTTCCTGCTTCTTCCTTCCCAACATGATTATACAGGTTTCTTTCCACATCTCTCAAAGGGTTCCAGTGTTCCTCCATGCCCGATCCTTCAGGGATGTTGCTCAATGTCTCCCAATTTGTCCTGGTGACTGAATGACGTGAAGATTTCATTTGTAGTTTCGTCCTCCAATTGCTGTTCTGGGTGTTGAACTTGAACTGTGGTTTATTACCAACTTCTTTGAAGGTTTTCAACTTGATTTGAAAGGTTCCTTGTACTAGATAGTGAGTGGTGCGAACCTACATCTGCTCCTCTTGATCTCATCTTGTGTCCAGTAGGCTGCGTCTCCATTTTCCGTTTCATCGAGATTGAGATGAAGTCGATCTGGTTATTAATGTGTCCTGGTGTCTGGTGAAATTAAATTCAATGTTTCTGCATATTATGTATACCATATCATTTGTTACTTTGTGAATATCCTTGTGTTTGTACACGCTGCCTCCAATCACCAAATACTTGAATACACAGAAGTCTGCAAACACTTCTTCATTCTCATTCATCAACTCACCAAGTGCTTCTGGACCCATAATCAGTTCTCTTCCTATCCCTGTGTTGTCCATTCCCAATTTGGCATTCATGCCACTCCACACATTAGAAGTTTGACACCACCGACTGCACTGGGATCTTGTCCAGTGCTGATTGCAGTTGTCTGTACAATTCCTCCTTCTTCTCTTCATCTGCATTATTTGTAGGTGTATAGCATAGCACTGAATGATTGTGACTTTCCTTCCTTTTTGAGTTGAATTCATCTTGCTATCATGATCCTCATCTTGCAGAAGGAGATTGGTTCCCACTGCATGATAGAGAGCCTTCGATGCCCTTATGGACATCATGATAGCCACTCGAAAACTCAATGTGCTCATGGTTGTCATCTGGGTGACAATATCGGAGTAGATTATTGACTCCTCTTCAGTTGACAGTTTGGAGAGTCCACTTCCATTCCATATGGTCTCACAGATTCCTAGCACTTCAATGCTATACCTTCTCATCTGTTTTGAAATCTGGGCAGCCTTGCTAAGTTCAAACACTGTGCGGACATTCCATGTCCCCACGTTTACTTTTGCTTTCTTCTGACTTCAGGAATCCTAAATACCTTTGACTCACGGATATCGATAAATTAGTTTGACGTAGTAGAATCACATTTATATGCAAGTTGCCACACTTCATACAACCATAGTATTTATTGTATATTTGGCAACTGGCTTAATAATTCAGGTGGTTGACTGTCAACTTAACAGTCAGATTTTCGGACGTCGCTTCACTTACTGCACTCTGAGCAGCTAGGTAATAGTATTATTAGCACAAAAATTGTGCCTTATTACCTATTTCATGAACATGCATATGATTGCTGAGTGAATTTTGTGGGATTTTGTCGAATGGCAGAAAATACATCCTTGAAATAGTGTATTCTTACAAGAGGAAATCAGATGAAAGGTCTATGAAAACAGAAATGTTATGATGTTTTTTTTTCATCTGAATAATATTTTTCTAGTGTCAATCTTGCCTTCAATATATAGTGTTTTCATGTTCCCCTATTAAAATCACTTTTTAAGGATCGTTCACTGGTGTACTCCAGTTATTCTATGATATTCTGATAACATCATTTAGTGCTAGGCTAGGCTATCTCTACTCCTGTTGTGGCCCATTTAACTAGTCACATCAATCAATTGAGTCTTCCGAGAAATTAGAAAATCATTTTTATTAGCGCGTTTTGATTGTAAATAGTTTTTGAAATAAATAATATTTATTGGTTAAAAGTATCTTTCAAGCTAATCGCTATTTTGAAACAATGAACTATGTGCAAGCGCATGTACAATTTTATTACAATAACGTGTAGTAACTTATAATTCGCACAACTTTATAATAACTCTAAAGTAATGTTTATTTTAATTTTTACTCCATTTAAATTAGGCGACCAATGCAAACTGTAATGATTAAACAAGGAGTTATTTTATGGGTTACCAATTTACTCGAAAATATGAATAACTTATCTGATTACACTTTAGAATATGCTGTAGCACTCTGTATGAATTTGTGTTTAAGAAGTTCAGGTGAGCAAGATTAAAGAGATTTCTATTTATAAAGACATATATTATTATTATTTGTCCGTTGGGTTCCTAATGGAACATAGGGCTTCAGTAGCACGTCTCCAGCGCACTCTGTTCTCTGCAAACGTTTGAACCTGGTTCCACGACTTCGAACAAGCTTTCATTTCTTCCTCACACCGTCTCCTCCATGTCACACTCTACACCGACGCCCAACTAGTCGCTTCCATCTGGGTTCCATTCTAGAGTGTGGCCTGACGCGTGATGTCCCCAGTCGGCCTTCTCAGTGTATGCCCAATCCACCTCCACTTTCTTCCTACACATGTTTGTTGCATGGTAGGTTGTTGATTGGTTCATTCCCAGCTAACCAGAGCTCCTTGTTGCTTATTCTTATTATTCTGGCAATCCATCTGATCTTTAGTATCGAGCCGGCGTAGACAGCAGCTATTGATGAATGTCTGTAGTTTGTTGGAAATCTCTTTCGTAACGCGCCAAGTCTCTGAGCCATACAGAAGCACTGACTTGACTGACGTTATTGTTGAAAATCTGGATGTTGTTGACACCTTATGCTGAGTGCAGAAGATCTCCACACTGATTTCAGATTAATGAAAGTCTGTCTTGTTGTGTTCTCGATCCTGGCTTCTTTGAAGTCCTCATCTATTCCTGTTCCACCTGTAGTTGAAACAGTGATGCCTAGACAGGTAGGTGAAAGAGGCTACTTCCTTTAAGTTTCTCTTGTGGATGGTGACTGGAGTTTGTTGTTGTTGGTGGTGGTGGGGGTGTTGGTTGGGTATCTTCATCACCTCTGTCTTCTCTACGTTCTTTTGAAGTTCCATCTTCGCTGCTTCTTCTGTCAACTTGTTAGTTTTCGCCTGTAGATTTTCAAGAGACATATTAAACTCCCTTAAAGGAATAAAGTAACCTCACCTGGTTAACTAGTTCACTGTTTGCTAGGCGGTCCTAAGCGCGGGTAAAGGGGGAAGGTTGGGCATAGGGCTAGCAACCCTACCACGTAAAACAAATCTAACCGCTAAAGAAACTTCAAAGCACAAACAAAATATAAAAAATGGAAACAAACTTATACCCCGCTGGAATCGGAGAGGCGAAATGACGCCAGTTGGTGAAAGTCTTCGGAAAGCCAGTTGGCCGATGTGTCTTCTCTCCCTAGATGAAAGCGAAAGTAAACGTGGGGACATGGAATGTCCGCACCATGTTTGAACCCAGCAAGGCAGCCCAGATTGCAAAAGAGATGAGAAGGTATCACATCGAAGTGCTTGGGATTTGCGAAAGCAGATGGAATGGGAGTGGACTCTCCAAACTTCAACTGGAGAGGAGAGTCAATAATCTACTCCAATATTGTCACCCAGACGACAACCACAAGCACACTGAGTCTTCGAGTGGCTATCATTATGTCCCCAACAGCATCGAAGGCTCTCATGCAGTGGGAACCAATCTCCTCCAGGATTAGGATCATGGCAGCAAGATTCAACTCAAAATGAAGGAAAGTCACAATCATGAAATGTTACGCTGAACGCCTACAAATAATGCAGATGAAGAGAAGAAGGAGGAATTCTACAGACAACTTCAATCAACACTGGACAAGACGTCAGTTGGCGATTTCAAAATTCTAATGGGTGACATGAATGCCAAACTGGGTGGGGACAACACAGGAAGAGAACTAACCATGTGTCGAGAGGCGCTAGGTGAAATGAATGAGAATGGAGAATTGTTTGCAGAATTCTGTGCATTCAACGATTTGGTGATTGGAGGCAGTGTGTTCAGGCACAAAGATATTCACAAAGCGACATGGATTTCACCAGATGAACACACTAAAAATCAAATCGACTTTATCTCAATCTCAAGAAAATGGAGACGCAGTCTACTTAACACAAGGTCAAGAAGAGGAGCAGATGTAGGCTCAGACCACTATCTAGTGCAAGGAACCTACCTTCCAAATCAAGTTAAAAGCCTTCAAGGAAGCTGGTGATAGACCTCAATTCAAGTACAACACTCGGAAACTGAAGGATGAAACTACAAAGGAGATCTTCACGTCAGCCATCAAGACAAAATGGGAGACATCGAGCAACATCCCTGAAGAAACCTGTGTGGAAGAACACTGGAAGTCTTTGAAAGCTATGTGGAAAGAAACCTGCACAACAGTATTAGGAAGGAAGAAGAAAGAAGACAAGGAATGGATCTCGACAGATACCTGGAAACTGATAGAGGAGAGGAGGATGGTGAAGCGGAAGATAAACCAGTGCAAGGATGCTCAACGACAACAGGAACTGAGCACAATGTATAAAACACTGGACAAAGAAGTGAAGAAGAGTGCACGCAAAGACAAAAGACACTTCTACGAAACACTGGCAAGTGAAGCAGAACAGGCTGCAGGTAAGAGAGACCTGACGACATTGTATCAAATAACCAGGTTGCTATCAGGGAAGAGATCAACACAGATGAAGCCAATAAAAGATGAAGAAGGAAATTTAATTACAAAAGAAGAGAAACAGAGGAAACAATGGGCCGACCACTTCAAGAAGCTCTCGAATCAACCACCACCACCACCTGCACTTCGTCCAGAAATACCACCTGCAGCCAATGAATTACAAGTGAACATAAATCCCCCAACGAAAATGGAAGTCCTGAACGCCATAAAGCTACTGAAATGCGGGAAAGCAGCAGGACCAGATGGGATCCCGCCAGAAGCACTGAGAACAGACGAAGAGACAACAGCAGACATGCTCACACCACTATTGCAGAAGGTGTGGAAGGAAGAGAAGGTACCTGCCAGTTGATTGGAAGAAGGGTTACCTTGTCAAACTGCCGAAGATGGGTGGGAGACCTCAGTGCTTGCAAGAACTGGCGTGGAATCACTCTCCTGTCCACCCAATGCAAGTAAAATATTAAGCCGCATCATCCTGGAGAGGCTTAAAGACGCACTGGATTCAAAACTGTGACCGGAACAGGCAGGCTTCAGGAAGTACAAATCATGTGCAGACCAAATTGCAACGCTTCGTATCATCATAGAACAGAGCGTAGAATGGCAATCAGCTCTATACCTCAACTTCATCGACTTTGAGAAGGCCTTTGACAGCGTCGACCGAGAAGTAATTTGGAAACTGCTTCAATACTACGGAGTACCGCAAACCTTTATCCGCCTCATTCAACAACTATATGAAGATGCCACATGCCAAGTAATCCACAATGGGAAGCTCAGTGATGCCTTTGAAGTGAAGACAGGAGTGAAACAAGGTTGCCTACTATCCCCCATGATATTCCTTATTGTGGTGGACTGGATCATGCAGCAAACAGTAGGCAGCGAGAAGAGGGGGATACACTGGACGACGGAAAAGAACCTAGAAGACTTGGATTTCGCCGATGACTTATGCCTAATGTCACATAAACTTGAAGATCTGCAGGCAAAAACTAACAAGTTGACAGAAGAGGCAGCTAAGACGGGACTTCAGGTGAATATAGAGAAGACAGAAGTGATGAAGATACCGCACCACCACCATCAACAACAACAACAAACTCCAATCACCGTCAACGGGAGAAACTTGAAGGAAGTAACCTCCTTCACTTATCTAGGAAGCACTGTTTCAACTACAGGCGGGACGGACGAGGACGTCAAAGTCAGAATCGGAAAAGCAAGACAGGCGTTCATTAGCCTGAAACCAGTGTGGAGATCTTCTGCACTCAGCATGCGGAACAAGATACGGATTTTCAACACCAACGTCAAGTCAGTGCTCTTGTATGGCTCAGAGACTTGGCGCGTCACGAAAGGTATTTCCAATAAACTACAGACATTCATCAACAACTGCTTACGCTCGCTCTGAAGATCAGATGGCCAGAAAAAATAAGCAACAAGGAACTCTGGGAACGAACCAACCAAGAACCTATCACGCAACAAATATGCAGGAAGAAGTGGAGATGGATTGGGCATGCACTGAGAAGGCCGACTGAGGACATCACGCGTCAGGCCCTCGAGTGGAATCCCCATGGGAAGCGACGAGTTGGACGTCCGAGGGTGACATGGAGGAGGTCGTGCGAGGAGGAAATGAGAGCTTCTGGGCTGTCGTGGAACCAGGTTCAAAAGATCTCAGAGAACAGAGGTCACTGGAGGCGTGCTACTGAAGCCCTATGTTCCACTAGGAACCCAAGGGACTAATAAAAATAATAAATAATAAAGGAATAAAGTAATTTTTGAAAATGGGATGAAAATCTGTGTGGTTGTAGGATTCAAACCAGTGACCTCCAGAAAACTGAGCAACAAGACACGGGATTTTTGTGTCATTGCAATCACCAGATTTATTATTTATAACACAAATAAGTCAGTGTGGACATCTCTGTCTGTGGGGCTAAAAGATGCGGTTGTAAAATATCAACACGTAAAAGACTAAGTGCTCACTGGTGAACCGTTTCGAGAGGTGATTCCCGAAGTTCTAATGAGAACTCGTGACCAGTGGGGTCAGCCAATCCAGATTTGAGGACAGATACTCAACGACAGGATTAGACGAAGGTTATGCTATATCGTGAAATAACAGGAATAGGAAGTATGGACCATTGGATTCCAACCTAGTGGTTCAATGGTAACGTGCTCATCGTGAAATCTGAAAGTCATGGCTTCTATCAGTGATGGGGTCATGGGTGCGCACTGCCGACGAGTTCTTTACCAGGACGAAATAGCTATCCGGTGCATTTAGGTTTCCGATGTTTCTCCAAATGATGTCAGTTCATGATGAACACCAACCTGAAATCAATGAATAGATTTTCATAAACCTCCAAACTTAATAAAACATTTGACTTGGGAACTTCTCAACAAATTAATTTCATTGCTTCACAGCGCTTGACAACCTGTGAGACATAATGGTTATGATAGAAAACAAAATATACAACATACGTTTATAAGTTTGACATTGACGTAAGGCAACGCAGATATAGACTAGTCAAAAATGATAAAATTTGACAAAGTTGTTAAAATTACTCACTCAGGATACTTGCAGCCTATTGGTAAACAACCCTCAAACCACTAGACGTTTTCTCATAAAAACGTCATAATTTCGATGTCTATAATGTGTATTAATTCAGTTGCTTGCGGCCTGCACAGAAATGCAGGACTCGCATCTCATCCTGTTTGCGACTCATCAGCTGGTTGTACCTGCACTCCAGTGCAGAGTGATGTTGTTCCCATTTACACTTGAACCTCGTACCCATCCCTTCAATCGCCAAGGCATTGTCCACTATGATTCGGACGAATGATAGACACTTCTTGTACAACAGGTAGTAGTTATTACTATTTATTGATATACTTGCAATTCTCCATTGTTTTTTCATGGAATCGAATTATTCGACCTCTATTGGCATAGTGGTTAACTCCTTGGCGATTGAAGGGATGGGTACGAGGTTTGAGTGTCAGTGGGAACAACATCACTCTGCACTTGAGTGCAAGTACATCCAGCTAACGATTCCCAAGGAGAATGAAACTCACGCCCTGGATTCCTGTGCAAGCCATAACCAACCAAATTACCATAATTGACATTCAGGCAGTATCATGGCATTCGCATAGGAGCCCATATATCAATAGAGGTAGAACAATTCAATCCAATAAAACAATGCGAATTAAAAGTATATCAATAAATATATACTAGTTTAAATTTGCAATACAATTATCCCATTTCATCATCCTGCTAAATTATCAGACTTGGATATTATCATCATCATCATCATCATCATTATCAACATAGGACCAGGCATTACTGCGTAACGGTCCGAGTCGCCACACCTCATATCACCACATCAAGTAAAAAGGTAGTGAGGCGAAGGATGAAGATAAGTGAATGCAGTCAAAAGAAATATAAAGTACGAGAAGAAAGGAAAGACGAGTGACAAAATGGTGAGATTCGGTATAGTGTAGTTAAGATGAGGATAATGTGTGTATACATCTGCTCCACTGACTTCGGTTGTGAGCCATGTGATCACCTAGGGTCTCCAACCACTGGTTCCTCTTGTCCCGTGGACCCCAACCACCTAGTCTGCATCGTCCTACTTGGATATTAGGAAACTGATGATTTGATTAAAGTTTATGAGTATTGTAATTATTTAAATAGTTCGATACTGAGTGACAATCGAAGGGTGAAATGAAAGTGTAGACAACAGAAGGCTTGAAACTAACAGTTTCTGCGTTATTGACCTAGTGTAATACTAACAGAAGTAAAAGATCCGACTGTTGACTAAATGGATTAAATCCACTTCAGTCACTAAAGATGATTGCCAACTGTTGATTTATTGTATTCATACTATCTGTCTAGTTAGATCCTCTTATCCTTACCAAAATTATGCTGATTTAGAGAGATAGAGCATCATATTGATTATCAGTATGAAAATCTGAGATAGTTGTGGTTTAGGCGACTTGTTTTATTGGTAGTGGATTGCTAGTTTGAATCCTACTGTGATTCAGATATTTCATCCTTCAATCATCCCAAAGTGTCAATAATACAAGTCTGCTAAACCATAGGCATCTCAGGCAGTTAAACTGATTATATATATATATATATATATATACAACCGCACTATCCTAAAAGAGATTGATGCCAACTACTGAATCAATATTTATTAGCCTACACTTTCCCACTTCTCTCAATTTATGAAATAGTCATGACGTCTGGAGTCAATGAAGCTGGAAGTGAGCAGAGACTCTCATAGGATTTCAATCTACCGACTAAATATCAACATACTAGCTGCCTAACTTGATAGTCCTGTAATCGGTCCTTAAGAGAGGGTTGTGGCTGAGGTTTACCAATGAATACCACACTAACAAAAACATCTCTCCAGAGCATTATCAAGAGTTCTAATTTAATACTGTTTGTTGGTATACCTGTAATTCTCCCTTGTTATACTGGGATCGAATGGTTCGAATTAGGGTGCAGTACATCCAGCTGGCCAGAATAACAAAATAAGCAACAAGGAACTCTGGAACGAACCAACAAGAACCTATCACGCAACAAATATGCAGGAAGAAGTGGAGATGGATCGGGCATGCACTGAGAAGGCCGACTGAGGACATCACGCGTCAGGCCAGTCCCTCGAGTGGAATCCCCATAGGAAGCGACGAGTTGGACGTCGTGTAGAGTGTGACATGGAGGAGATCGTGCGAGGAGGAATACATCCAGCAGGAGAGTGGATCCCAAGCAAGACAAAACGTGCAACTTACATTCCTCTGCTAGACATAATCAAGTAAATTATCATGATAAATATATTCGGACATCAGCATAGGAGCTCATATGCCAATAGAGGTTGAAAAATTCGATCCAGTATATCAGCGTAGAATTACAAGCATATCAAAAAAAAAAAGTAATACCTGCCAGCCATTGTACAAGAAGTGGCTATCATGCCTCCATGGCCTAGTAGATGACGTTTTGGTATTTGAAGAAAACGGCTACGAGGTTCAAGTGTCAGTGGAAACGAAATCACTCACTAGGGTACAAGTCGTAAATAGAATGAAACACTCGTCTTGCATTCCTCTACTAGTCACAATCATGTAGATTTTAATTCATTGCTTATTTTGACTACAATCCATGGAACGATTTAAGTATGCATTTGTTCTCAGGTGAAATAAACAAAACTTGACCACAATTTCACCAACTGGTCTATATATGTTTCTGCTTTAGTTTGTCTGATTGTTAATAAATTTGGTAACTTCATTTTGTTATAAAATAGCGTCAACTTGAACATAGTGTAAATCAGTTTATTAACCAGTTGTTTAAGAGGTAGTGTAATGTATACATTAAGTATAAACTGATTTTTTACCCTCTTCATTCTTTAGGTAAACGATGTTGTGTTCCAATTACAGGCCGTTTACTCAATGTTCTAATGGATCTGCTTGGCATTGATAATATCGACATAGTGCCTTATGTTAATGGTGCACTATATTCTATATTATCTCTACCAGAGATTAGAAAAACAGCTGAAAAAATGGTAAATTTATAGTACTGAAATTTTTAAATCAAGTCACCTAAACTTATTTTAACATTGAACCAATGTTATGTTTTTCTTTTTTAGTCGGTTCGGTCAGTTGTACTGACTAGGCAGCCAGTGTGAATACGAATGTGTCATGAATTCACATAGTAGTTGGGCAAAACCCTTAGTGATTGGAGTGAAATAAAAATCTGGTCAGCAGTCAGACCTCGTAGTTCAGTTGGTAGAGCATCGGGTCGGAAACTCCAGTGGTCGCTGCCTGGAATCCGGCTACGCTCCAGGTTCTCATCTCACCTTTAATCATTACCCAGTATAAATACTAGTCTACCAAACTACAGCTATCTCAGATAGTCAAATGGTAATGGTACTCAAATACACTTAAATATGTTCATCAAAGTTTAACTTATCACCAGAATAACTGGGTTTCAATATGTTTAGTTTGGTTTCTTTGGTGGTTTGCGCCAGAAGAGGGGAGGAAAACACTTCTTCGAGTTTACTAATATACCTTTCTGACAGGTGACCAAAAGCGTGAGATTCAGATGAAATTTTACGTTTTATTTGTTGGTAGATCGTTGTTAAGGACTACGAAATCATAACAAATTAAAAATGATATAGGATTATTGAGGAATAGGAGCGAAGAAAGATGATAAGATAAGAATGTGGAAGGTGGACAGTGACCTGAATGAAGTTGAATGTTCACAGAGTTATGATAGTGGTTGACTTTCTACACCATGGAAGGCTATTTCAGTTGGTAGAACACCAGGTACTAGTTTAAACCTTGTTACACCTCTAATTTTCATTTCACCAGCAATGATCACTTCATTCAATTTATGACTATTCTGCGGAACTGTGGCTCTTTGTCACATGTGACAAACTGTTGTATAACTAAGTATTTTGATAGGTTCTCGTACAGTAGGCTATTAACTATATATCTTATTGTAAAGGTTACGATGTTAATCAATAGCTTAGATCAGAAGAGATGGAGTTATTGCTAACCATTGGATCACCAAAAGCCACTATTCCATACCATATGAATCAATATATACAATGATACATATTATGTTCAATGATAAACTTTTACTGGAAATCTCTTCCATAACTGATACGAAATCAAAAGTTTAAACATGTTTAAACACGTTACACATTGATAGTGATACAACTACCACTACATATTGTATTCTTACCTCAGTGACTTAACTGTCACATGGTAAAATAATTTATGATAAAAGAGTATATCATATAGTTGTCTTTCTTCATTACCTACTTTCCAGTGTTCATATTCATATAACAGATTAGTAGTGTATATTGGTTAAACAGTTAATATGCCAATTTTCTCTATATATTTCCTTTCACTGGACATTTGAAAGATAGTTCACAACTATCGGCAAAAAACATTCAGATCAATTGAATCTGGTGGATTTATATCATTTGGCATAATTTTTAACTTTCTGAGGTATTCAGATCTCTGAATACTACTGCTGACAACTTTATTTTCTAATCTAACAAAATGGCTGTCTAAACTAGTTCATGATGTATGTTAACACGTCTTTAGCCCATCGTTTACTTGAATCATCAGTCTAAGTTTTAATTCTGAAACCATTCATCAAGTGATCACAGTACAATTAGACGATTTATATTTTCTGTGAATCAGTTTTTCAATCCTGAAAAACCTTAGAGCATTATAAATTCATGTTTAATTCATCCTGGTATTTGTGATTAGCGTTCTCATACGTTTTCTCTATCAAGAATTTCATTATCATATTGTGTCTTTATTATTTGTCCTTTGGATTCCTAATGGAATATAGGGATTCAGTAGCACGTCACCATTTCACTCTGTTCTCTGCAATCTTTGAACCTAGCTCTAAGACTGCCCGTAGGCTTTCATTTCTTCATCATACGATCTCCTCGGTCGCCCAACTCATCATCTCCCACTTGGCTTCCACTCGACGTCATTGCCTGGTCTGGCGCGTAATGTCTCCCAACCGTCTTCTTTCTCAGTGTATACTCAATCCAATCCATCTTCACTCTCGTCTTCTGCATACATGTTGGACGATAGGTTCTTGATTGATTCGTTCCCAGCCAACCAGAGTTCCTTGTGCTGATTCTTGTTATTCTGGCCATCTGATCTTCAGTATTGGGTTGGGAGTAGGCGGCAGCTGTTGATGATGTATGTCTGCAGTTTGTTGGAAATGCTTTCCGTAACACGCCAAGTCTCTGAACCATATAGCAGCACTGACTTGTCGTTGGTGTTGAAAATCTGGATCTTGTCGTTTATGCTAAGTGCAGTAGATCTCCACACTGATTTCAGAACAATGAAGGAAGTTCTGTCTTGCCCCAATTCAATTGGTCGTTTGTAGAGATTGATCTCCTGGTTAACTAGTTCATAGTTACTAGCCGGTCCCTAAGCCCGGATAAAGAGAGAAGGTTGGACATAGGGCTAGCAACCCTACCCGTAAAACAAATCGAACCGCCACAGAAATCTCAAAGTACAGACAAAATATAAAAATAAAAACAAACTTATTCCCCGCTGGAATCGCGCAAACAAAATGACGCCAGTTGGTGAAAACCTTCGGGAAGCCAATTGGCTGATGTATCTTCTCTCGATGAAAGCGAAAAAACGTGGGGACATGGAATGTCCGCACGGTGTTTGAACTTAGTAAGGCTGCCCAGATTTCAAAACAGATGAGAAGGTATAGCATTGAAGTGCTAGGAATCTGCGAGACCACATGGAATGGAAGTGGACTCTCCAAACTGTCAACTGGAAAGGAGTCAATAATCTACTCCGATATTGTCACCCAGATGACAACCATGAGCACACTGAGTTTTCGAGTGGCTATCATGATGTCCACAAGGGCATCGAAGGCTCTCTATCATGCAGTGGGAACCAATCTCCTTCTGCAAGATCAGGATCATGATAGCAAGATGAATTCAACTCAAAAGGGAGGAAAGTCACAATCATTCATTGCTATGCACCTACAAATAATGCAGATGAAGAGAAGAAGGAGGAATTGTACAGACAACTGCAATCAGCACTGGACAAGATCCCAGTGCAGTCGGTGGTGTCAAACTTCTAATGTGTGGAGTGGCATGAATGCCAAATTGGGAATGGACAACACAGGGATAGGAAGAGAACTGATTATGGGTCTAGAAGCACTTGGTGAGTTGATGAATGAGAATGAAGAAGTGTTTGCAGCTTCTGTGTATTCAAGTATTTGGTGATTGGAGGCAGCGTGTACAAACACAAGGATATTCACAAAGCAACAAATGATATGGTATACATAATATGCAGAAACATTGAATTTTTTTATTTTCATCTCTTTGTACAATGTAAATCAATATCTTCAGCATAATAATAAGAAATGTAATAATTTGATAAGAAAATGCTTTCACAATAATAAAACTATGGAAAATAAATAAATTCGTGAACATTAATAATAATAATAACAATAATTATAATAAGGGTACTTCTATTTGCTTCTCATGATTACAATTCTTATCATACAATCCATCTTGCATGAAAATTATGCTAACTGGTATAATTAAGTAACTAACTAACTGTCTTCTGTGTGTGCATATTCTGTTTCCATCTACAGATTATCATATACTTTTCAATGTATATTGCTTTATCTTGAGAATTTATACTGTCTATAAATTAGTGAATGTGAGTAAATGAGTAGTATACTGCTTTTTTTTTTTACAAGCTAACCAACTATGTTATCTTGTCATAAATACTCTTTTAGTATGTTATAGTGTTTTTATATACATGTAGTAAAATTTTAAATACTGGTAATATTTCAGTCATCAAAGCATGATCATCTTGTAAATTGATTAGACAACTACTGGGAGAAATATTTCTGCAGTGTAATCAATCAATCAGTATCAACATAGGACCAGGTATTACTGCGTAACCGTCTGACTTGCCATATCTCATATCAGTACATCAAGTTAAAAGGCAGTCAGCCGCAAGATGAAGATAAGAGAATGCAGTCAAGAGAAATATAAACTACGAAAAGAGAGAAAGGAAGAATGAGAAAGTGGTGAGATTCCCTATAGCGTCGTTAAGATGAGGATGATGTATGCATACATCTGCACCACTGACATCGGTTCTCAGCCATGCGACCACCTAGAGTCTCCAACCACTGGTTCCTCTTGTCCTGTAGACCCCAACCGGCTAGTCTGCATCGCTCCACATGACTCAAACCAACAGTCAGAGACTTCATACATTGGTGTCACCTCGAGCCTTTTTCCAGCCTGAACCTACTTCAGCCAATATTGTGTGATGAGGCAATCGGCGACTAGCCAGCCATACGTATACGTGTTCCAACCATCTCGGTCGATGAAGGTTACAACCTCGTCAACCAACTTACCTCTTCTCCCTAAAACTCTACACCTAACTTCTGCAGTGTAATACATTTATTATAATTATTTTTACATTATACCGTCGTTGATTGGACTGAATTGATCGGTCTCTATTGGCATATAGGCTCTTTTACGGATGCCTCGATATTACCTGTGCTTATTATAGAATGATAGATAGTGGCTTACAGTGGAATTCAGGATGTGCGTTTTTTATCCTGTTTGGGACTCATCAACTGGTTGACGTGCTCCAGTAGTTTAATGGATAAAACTTGTCGTTTGATACGATGACACCTAGGTTCAAGTCTCAGTGGGAACAAAACCACTTGCTCTCTCTTCACCAATCTCCCTCTTATGGAAACTATCTGTTTTTATGTGATTTTATCGAAGATAATAATTTTCACGTAAGTATTTCAAAGCACTATTTAAAGGAATTGCTTATAAGATGTACTTGCAACGTGCAGTTCAAAAACCAAGAATGGGGTCGCTTTGACGTCACTACTTGGACCACTGCTGGCTGATTGCTTTATGGCAGACCTAGAGAATAGTCTACTTCCTTCAACAATTGATAGTTTCTACATATATGAAAGATATGTGGATGACAAATTCATCATATGTGATCAAACTGCAATATTAGGAAGGTA